GTACACCCCCCAAGCTGCCTCCCCGGACACCCCCCGACCGGCGGCCGCCGCCGCCGCGGCTCGGGGGGTGTTGGCGGCCGGACCCCGGAGCCGCCGCGGCCCCCGCGCCCCGCGGGCGGGAGGAGCCGCCCCGGGCCCCGCTGGGCCCAGCGACCGGCCCGCAGAGCCGGGGATGCCTCGCACAACCCCCGGGGTGCTCCGGGGGGGATGCAGGGGGGGGTGGGAGGCAGCTTTGTTTTTGTACCGGGCGGGGCGGGAGGGGCACGGCCGGGGAATAACAACCCTGGAAAACGGGGCTTTGCGGAGGGCTGGGAAAATAAATCGGGAGGGTTTAACGGCTGTTGTAAAATTGCCCCCTCGCAGCAGTTGGAGGGTGGGCAGATGAGCCTGTGTTTTTGTTTCCTGCAGGAGGCTTTGGCAGGGAGAGTGGAGTGGAGTTGGGAGGTTTAACACAGGTCCTGGGAGCACCATTTACACCCTGGAACGGCCCTGAGACTGAAAACAGGAGACTTTACACTGCACAGCCCTTCCAAGACACTGTATATATATTTTTAGGGCGAATCCCCAAGCAGGAAGAGGATATATGTTGCCCCTCCTGGGGTGGGCCATGTCCTTTCATTAATTTCTAAATTGGGTGCAGTTCCTTTGGCCTCAATGCACTGTTAGGCAAAGTATTGTTTGATTATAGTAATGTGATTTAAACATATCATCAATGGGAATTAAGAAATAACTGCAGGGAAGCAGTTGCAAGGCTGGTTCCCAATTAATGACAAAATGAGTAAGAGTTAACCAGGTAATAGGATTTTTGCATTATCAGAGGTACAGTGAGCTTGAGATGAAGTTTTAAAATAGCATATTCAGCTTTTTGTTGAAGAAAAAAACCCCAATTCAGTTGTAAGACAGAAAAATACCCTAAAAATGAGTATCACCACTGACAGATTGAGTGTATCACCATGGCTTGGGATGGTTTGATTGTTGAGGGCTTCTGATGTTGTTCTTAATAAATAGTATAATTGAATCAAGGCAAATGATAAAATACACCCCCTCACCGTTATTTATATCAGACACATTCCTTTATAAAAATAAAAAAAAATAAGCAAGTGATACTTGGCAAGTTTGTATTATTTTCTGAGACTGATTGGTAGAACAGGGAGGTTTTAAAGTGATGTGTTTTAATTTCAATTGTTTTAGTACTTTTGAGCATAACAGATTGTGAATGAAAACACTCTTTTTTTTTTTTTTTTTTTTTTTTTTTTTTCCTAAATGGCAAAGCTTGTTGGACAGGGACAGTCTGGGGGTGCTGGGCAGCTTTTTGGTCCATAGTGAGGAGCTGATTTTAGACATTCAGTTGAAACTTAGAAGAGGGGAAAGTGTACAAAGGACCCCCACGTTCCCTCCCCCTCCTTGGGATGCAAACCAAGGGAATCAGACTGTGGTAGGTTTGGCTTTCACAGCACAGAAATTGTGAGTGGTAGAAGCTGAGTTAAGCTTTTTTTTGTTGAACTTTAATTAGCAGAACAGTTTTTCTTTATTGGTAAGTGAAGGAACATTTTATGTGTTATTACTGATAAATTGAGTTCTCTTTGTAATTTGTTCTGAGAGCAGAAATTACTTCTTTATTTTTCCTGGCTGAAATCACATTTCTATTATCACTCTTCACCTTCATGGATTTTTTGGACTTCTGAAACATGCAGTGTGTATTTTCCCTCTTTTAATTCATACAGACACTGTGCCTTTTTAGGTGAGCCAGATGAATTTTTCTGTGGAAGAACCTTATTAAAGTGATGGCTTGAGGACTTGAAATACCTGGTTTTGTTGGGTTTTGTTGGTTTATATTTTGGGATATTTTTTTTGTTGGTTTGTTTGGGGGGTTGTTTTTATCTCTTCCCATCAGACTAAAACTTAAAGGGAGATGTGGAAGCAGCATCTTATTCTGTAATTTGTCCCAGTTCTGCTTCTTGATCTGTCATGGAGGATCCTTTTCCTTTGTGAAATCTCACTGGTTTCAGAGCAGTTCCTTCTGGACTTTGGGATCAGTGTCAGTTAATCTGGTTGAAGGAGAAGGGCTGTAGTTTGGAGAGAAAGGTTGGAATCATGGAGAAATTCTCATCTCAGAAAATATGAGTAAGAGTGTCTGGAAGGCTTGAAGAGGTGATATTCCCAAGTGGACAGGTACAGGCTTAGTCCTAGAGAGATGTGGACAGCCTGATGCAGATCACTCCACCTGTTCATGCTTATTTTTGAAGGAATAGTGAATGTGACCCATTTGTGAGGAGTTCTGACACCAGTGGATGAAAGAGCCCATGTAAGAGCTGGGGCAATCTTATTACTAATGTTTTCCAACTCTGGATGAAATATTTCTCCATCATTGGCGATTATGTTTGTTAGTAAAATCCCCTTTGCAATTATAGCTGGATATTCTTCCTGACTTTCAGTGTGTTGGTTTATTTTATTTGTTATTTACATTTGCTACTGCAGGTTATTCAAGGTGTTTTCATGTCAGTAAATGGCAGAAGCAATTGCTGGGGCAATTCAGATTATTAGTTCAAAGCCCTTGAATGTCTCACCCCAGTGGCAGCCCCTCCTGAGGTCACTGGTACCTCACAGCTCTGGTAGCAGGAGTGAAATCTAAATTAAAAAAGATTTAAATCCTGTCCCCTGTGTACAGCCTGAGTAAGTCAGGAAAGCCCTGGCTTGGGGACTGAGGAGGAGGGCTGGTGTCACTGTGCTCTAGCTTAGGGATAGAGTGGTTGGACAGCTGGAATTCCCCTGCCCTGGGGATCAGTAGGCCAAGAATCCTGGTAGGCTCCAGTCCTGCCCTGACGTCTCTCCTGGCATTGCCAAAGCCTTCTTCCTGGAAGGAAGCAGATCCCCAGTGTTCCTCCCTGTTCAAGGTTGCCACTGTGTCATCAGGGGGGGCTAAAATACCGAATTTTGTAATCCTGACCTTCCCTCCTGCTCGTGTTACAGCTCTTTAATCATGTCTCACTTCCTTTGTTAAGGCAAAAGCCCATTTTCACTGCGTGGTCCGTGTATTTTTTGCCTTGAAATGGAAGGACTGTGGGTTAGATAATCAGAACAAACAAGACCTTCCTTTTTTGTTCTTGTTTGTCTTGCTATTTCTTCCGTGGCCTTTGGCAGCACTTGTGTTTATGTGTATCAATGACATATATTTAAAGACATGGCGCTTTATATGTTTGATTTTTTAACTGCCCTCAGTGTAAACTTCTGCAATTGCCATTCTTTTTCAGCAAGGAAGAAAAGAGGCTGGTTTTAAAAAAAGTCTGCACACAGCATTGGTATGGAATTAAAAAAAAAAACCAACCCAGAGGAATGCTTTATCTTCTGGAGATTTTGACTGGGGAAGTAAACACCTGCCTTCCCTCAGTATTTTGGGGTGGGAGAAAATAACTAAACTTTATAGACAGGGAAATTTGGAGGCTGCAGGCTCAGACTGCTCCACAGGGGCAGGCCAGCTTCTGGGGGGTTTTATTCTGGTGCCATTGATATGTAACTCCAGTTCCTTATTCCAAACCAGTCTTGCTTACTGAGCTTTCATCCTCTCTGCACACAAATGTTTACAACATGAGGCTTCAACCAGAAGCAATCACTCATGTCTGAGAAACACAGAAAAGTGAATATTACTGTAGGAAAAGAAGTGCTTAGGAATTTAAGCAGGGAGATTGTAATTACCCATGGGCGAGAATATGTTTTTCTGTTGCATTTCTGTTGCACTGCCAGTCGAAGTTACAGGATACTTAATGAGGCCATAACGTAATATCCAAATATTTCTCTAATTTTATATGCAAATTTGTTGTTATAAATTAGAAATGCGCTGGTTATTTACCCAGCCTTTTCTCAGAGTCCTCCATAATGCCAGATTACAGACTTATTGGAGGAAAGGCAGATAAGAAATCATCGATTTCAGTCTTTTTTCATTTTAAAGTGTGATTTTACTGCAGTGAGAGGTTCCATTTCGTGACTGAAAAGTTTGAGCGGTGACTGTGGCCCCATCCTGGTGCTGAACGAGGACAAACTGCCAGATTCTCTGAGCGGTGTGGAGTCCTTGTCAGATGTTGGATGGCTCATAATTTAGAATTAGCAGCACTGGACTATCCAGGTTTTCCTGCAGTAGGTACACGGGGCTGCTGAGTTGGTAGCAAGAATTTTTGTAAGTGATGTTATGTAGAGAGATGTTCTGGAGATGTGACTGTGAACTGTTGTGCCTTTTGTTGCTGTTGGTCCCACTTGCATGAAGGATGATGTGTCTGAGGTGGATGTTTTGAGTCTTTGGCTTAAATGTGGTCTGGGGAAATAAATTTCGTGCTCTCTCCTGTTTGTAAGAGGCAGGAAAGGCTCGCGATTCTCCGAGCTGTAATGCTGAAATATTGGAAGAAAAAGAACAGTGGGTTTGTGTTTGGAATGAAATTTTGAATGTTGGAGCGGCAGGAAGTGAAGGATAGAAATGTGAGCACTGTGTGCATTGGACTGAGCTGGTTTTATGGTAGTTGGGGTAAGTGTGACTTAGAAATGATCTTTCAGTCTGCGAATTTCCCAGTCTGGGTTTTTTCCCCCATAGTTATATATAGC